AAAAAAAAAAAAAAAAAAAAAAAAAAAAAAAAAAAAAAAAAGAAATTAAATCCAAAGGAAGGAATGTGATGCAAAAGCCAATGGTAAGCAAGACATTTGTGTGTGAATAAATCTACACCAGTATCAACATTATAAAAATTATAATAATAATGACTACTTGACAGGTATAAAACAAGATTTAATATGTCATACAAAAATAACATGTAAAATGGACAAGATGTGGTAAAATTAGTGTTCTAAGACCCTTGATTTGCTTGAGAGGAGGATAATGATAATGATTAATTGTACACTTTAATTTCAGGATGCACATTAAAATGATAAGGGTGAAAAAAGAAATAGAATATGTAATTTCCAAACCAGTAGAAGGAAATAAAATGTAAAACATTATTACTACCCACATTTACAAAACATTAAACTGAGGCTTATTAAACTTACTGACTTGACCAAGTTTACTAAGCTAATAACTAGCATAATGTGACTTAAATTCATGTCTTTCAACTCCAAGTTTTATGATTTTTTTCTTTCTACGTCATATAGTCTCTGATCTAGGTGGTACATTAAAATAACAATGTGTTACCCTGATATTCAATTCAATGAAGCAAAAATCTCACACTGCTACAAGAATATCTTTGTATTAAATAGGACTTTATGGTAAAAGTACTGTGGATTTACCTAACAATCTTCTTATTCCTTATTTTCATTTCATTCTTACCTGCTCTCTTGCTCATTAATTCCTATACTCTTCACATATTTTTTTTCTCCCAGGCTCTCATTTTTACTGTTTTTTTCTCTCTTCCTCCTTCCCACTTAATTTTTTTTTAATTTTGTACACATGTGTTATGTGTATATATATATGTGTGTGTGTGTGTGTGTGTGTGTGTGTGTGTGTAAACATATATAATATTTATGCATCACACGTTTATAAATTTTTTAAAAATCTCAATGTATATGCTGTGGTAAAATGCATAGTTTTTATTGGGATACAGCCTGCTTGAAAGATTTCTAAAAAAATGGAAGAAGTTACAAAAGACAGTGGTACCCAGATCTGCTTCATTCTATTGTAGTGCTCTCTCACTGAAGCAAATATGTAACACCAAACAAGCAGCAGGACTACCTGTGATGAAATCTAGGCTCCAAATTTATCAGCAATAGATGGACCCCTGGCAAGTTGCTGCTAGAGCCAAAGACCTTATCTCTGCACTAAGGTAGTGATTCCCTTTCTCCTTGCCAAAACCATTTCAGTTGGTTTCTAATTGAAAGCCATACAGTAAAATCTTCAGGATGTGCCCAAGACTGTAATTCAAACACCTAGACCACAGCGAGTCATTGCCATTGACCCCCCACCCCCATCTAGTTTGCCTGCAGATAGTTCTGCGATACTTCTTGAGGTAATAAAACTTCAAGGTGTTGTAATCTGCCTACTGGCATACAGAAACACATGGAAACCTCTTGACATCAATTCTTGGTCTCCTACTATATAGCTTGTCAGATGTATAAAAATAATATAAAATCAAGTTCATAGCAACTTTAAAACATTGCCAGCTGATTATATTCTGCTATTGGCATTATCAACCCAAACATCTATACTGTAAATGTTCCCTTGAAGAAAGCCATATAGTGTTTCTATTATAAAAAAATGAGTGGTATTTCATACTGTAAAATAAATCTGTAGGATTATGGTATTAGATGCAATTCTTATACCTGGAGGCACAGAAATCTTTAATAATTAAAACCTAAACCAATTTAGAAAATTGTTCCACTAACCAAAAAATACAATGAAGTAACCATAGATGTAAAATACAAACAAGTAAAAAAAGAAAAAAAAATCACATGATTTGCTCCTTTTGTTTCCCCCTATTCACCTAAAAGCAAATTGTTCCATTGCTCCCCCACACCTACCCTGTTTTGACTATCCAAAAGATAACCTAGGAAAAATAAAAAGCTAATGGCCTTAGTAATCACAAAACAGAATAATCCATCTCAAAATGGCCAGAACTTGAATATATCCTGCTCCATAATCATTGATAGCTGGTTGAATAATACCATTACTAAGAATTAATAAGTCTACCAAGCTCAAATACAATTTCCGCTTTTACAAGTACATGGAAATATGGTGATTACAACAACAAAAACTCACTTAATTGAGGAGCTGAAAATTTTTGGAGGAGTACGCTTTGTAGTAGTGAAAACACAATAAAAATAACAGATGGTACTTTAGCAGACAGGGGCAATAGGTTAGGGGGAGAGGGATAAATAGAGAATTATAGGTAAAGAATTAACACGCAGAAGAGCCAACTGTGTGGTCTCAGAAAATGGTGCTGCCAAATTAGAGATATACTTTCATGGAACCAGATCTAGAATAAGGAGCTGAAGTCCTTATTCTCACGGTAAAAAGTACAAAGCTCTGTCAACTGATTTACAAAGCATAGTTATTAATGCCAGAGTCAGGGTGGTGGAAGTAACAATAAACATCCAGCAATACTCTCTGATGTCTTGAATAAGATTGTAGCAAGGTAATAAATAATATGACAAAACTAAACTCCTCAGCATTGTTCAGGGAGAGGTCCTCTGGAATGGAGTTACTTCAGATTTTAAGAACCACTTAAGTAGTCAACGAAGAAGTGATTAGCAGTTTTCTAGGCTTGATGATCTCTCTCCATAAAAGATCAGAAGAGTCTAAGAATAAAAAACTGACAAGATAAGTCAGCTTGAATCATAATTCCATTCCCTTTCCTTCTCCAACAAAAAGCTGGCCACCCTCTCGGTCCTCCACTATTTTTTTTTTCTTCCTCCTCTATTTTGCTTCAGGGAGGTCTTGAGATAGTCTTTTCTCCACCTCTGAGTATCTGTCTTCTATCATGTGTAGCACAGAAGCCCAGGCAACGGACACAGGGCCTACACCACACAGAGTCAGTCAACAGTCTTTCCCGCCCTTGAGACAGGTCAACAGCTTAAGTATATCCAACAGTTGTTTCTGCAGGAAGCTCAGAGAACAGCTTTGGTCAACGCCTCTGCTCCCAATCACTTCAATAATTTATTACAAGTCTTTTCTCAGGATTGTCTTTTAAATCACTCACAACCAAATCAAAAAGGCATAAATTTAAAAAAAAAAAAAGAGGGGATGTCTTTTATTGGAACAACAAGTAATTGGCAGCAAAGAGAAAATAAAGCAAACCAAATAAAATAGATAAAACTGAGAACCCACAAATCAGATTATAAAACAATATTCTGCATTTAAATAAAGTAACCCCAGAGCAACAATTTAAGTGTTGCCTTTTGGCCTGCACTCCCCGATTTCTCTTGTTTGGGCCTGGCCACAACTTTTTATTTGTCTGTGTACTCACAGCTTCACAGTGATACAACATTATTTACTACTTACTTGGGCTTGCTTGCATACTTTAAAAGGGTGAAGTGTTTCTTGGTAGAAAAGCTGATGATAAGCCTGTAGGTCAAACCAAAAGTACACACTGTTCCTCCACAGCTGCAGATGGGAAAAGTACATAAGTTATTATAACCCAACTATTTAAAGCTCTACAAAGCTCTAATTACAAATATAAGTCATTGTTTAGCTCTTTGGTGTTACCATAAATCAGGTTCAATTTAAGATATTTTTATCTTCTATCACAAACTGGCAACATACAAAATATTTATTGGTATCATCACTAGAACATAATATTTTTGCATTCATGTTTCTCACATAATTGGTCATTAAAATAGTAAGTGTTCTAGTTAACAAAGGGTGATCACATATTTCTGGCATGAAAGTTATTTTGATATATATGGGCAAATGTACGTCATACCAGAACAAAACACCACTCTTCATTTGAACCAGTGAAATACTTTTCATTTGAGCAAAATGAAGTCTTTGTAATTAAAAACAAAACAAAACAAAACACAACCTGTAAATAAGTTTGCCACTACCCACTGTAATTTGTAATTGTTACAATTATTAAAAATAAAAATTAAAGGATTGGTAAAATCAACTCTGAATTTAATATATATTACATTGAAACAAGTTATATAAAAATAAACTATTATTAATACCACAAGTCAATGCTTGTTTACCTGTATTTTACTTTTCTTATTAATTTTAGTATGATAGTGAACCAAAAAAAATTATAAGATGTTTAAATTTTTACTAAATATTTACTATGAAATTTCTTACCAGAGATGGGAATTTTAACATCAAGTATAATTATTTAAGCATTGAATTATTTCAATCTCTCTTATTTTAAAACGAAGTAAAAGTAAAAATTAGATTTTAAATAATTATTTTCTACCTTGTTCCCTGAATCTTCACAGAATTTAGTAAAGAAGAATCCAGCTCTATTTTCTACATACAAAGATTGCAACAAATTTTCCATGTCAAATCCTCCCAAAGCACCATCTGCCATGGTTTTAACCTAGGTAACAAAAGAGGGGTCCATTATCCACCCAGAAACATTGTAATTTTTCTTTTGGCATTGTACAACAGGGTTTCATAAATTTTGCCAGGCTGTCATTTCCCAACTGGGCTATTTTACTTTTGTACCATATATGTAATCAATGCAGTATGTTTGCATCTGACTGTCATGTAAGGTTCATTTGTGGAGCCAACTATAGCAGCCGAGTTCATTCTATTATAAACTAACCTGATCTCATACTTAATGTTAAAATGACTTCCCAACTTCAACTATTTTTTGTTTCAGGCACAGTGACACCCTTTTAAGAGTCTTCCAAATCTCTGTTGGTGGCCTCTTTCCTACATATTAACTGTTATGTTAGCCTTGAGGTGCTGCTATAATATTTACAAGAGAGTTATAAAAAGAACTATCTTCAAGGCCTCTCAATGCTGCTCATTAACGGTCTTTGCAGCAGGGTTGTGGGGTGGAGCGATGTCCCTCTTGGACAGTCTCACTTCATACAGGTCATGGCCTTTAGAGTGCAAATGACAGTATAAGTTCTAATAAAACTTTGCTATTTATGGGCTGCTCTGCCAGCAATGCTGGCAACCCTAATGCCATTCTTGAAACACAGAAAGCTGGTTATTTCTCCAAGCACAAGAGTGACTCCCGAATACAAAAGGGCATCTACTATTCACATGAAGTCTTTGCTATCTGTTGTGTGGAACTCAAATTTCTTTGTAATCTTAAGATAACTGTGACATGAACAATTTAGGGTTTAAGTAAGCTTCTTGTTCTCTCTTTGTTATCATGTCTCTCTGCCTTTCTTTTATCTCTTTACTAAACAAATTCTGAAGTGAGCATTTAATGTTTTTACGATGTCTAACCATTGACATTCCAAAACTAAAATATCATTATTTTGGTAGGGAAAAAAATCCCAATTAGAAGAAAAGGAGAACTGTTTGATTAGAATAAAGTTAATAGTTATACAAAATTATATCTAAGTGTTCAAACTATATCAGGACTACCAAGATTACTACCTGAAGTGTAATCCTTAGGGAATGTGAAATTGTCATCTAGAACTGGTGTACTAAATCTACATTGTCAGGGTAGCCACACTATGGAGACTTTCTGCTTTACAAAAATTCTAAGCTTCTAAAATATAACATCAAATATTATTTTTTTATCAAGTGTTAAAAACTTAATAAAAATCCTAGAGGGTCTTATTTTATGTCTGAAGTGTCCTCATGCCAAACCCGAAACACAGCTGTTTTTAAAACAGTAATCAATGAAAATATGGCACCATGGTACTATAAAAGGAAAAACAGAAAATTTGTGTGTAAAATCCTTTTGCGAGGAAAAAAATGAAATGTGTTGTTTAATAAAAAATATATATATTAGGGTAAATCAATAAAAGTTCTCTAAAATCAAAGGACATTCAGTTAAATGAAGAATCAGATTAATCAGTCCTCAAAATACTTACCAAAGGTTCTTCTGTGTAAGTATATCTTCTATCCAGCTGTGGCTTCAGACATTCAGAAATGTCAGTAAAAGATGTTAAACGAATAACTTTGCTGCTGTCTGACATGTACCTTGACCTAAATTATAAGGATGAGAACTAATGGATCAACAGACAAATTTTGAGCACTTTTGGTATACATGGCACCAAATCTCAGGAATGATTCTTAGTATTGTAAGAGAGTCAGAGAAAAAAAAAAGCATCAGGTCTAGCCCTCAAGAAGTAAGTCGTTCAGAGAATGAAGTATAATCATACAGAAAGACAATTCTCAATAAAATACCTTCTAGTTGAATGAATTTGAGAATATATGATAGATGCCAGATAACTGGGATGCATAATAAATACCATTGGAGTTTAAGAATGAGAAATCCCTTCGAACTATGCTAGTAATTAATGAGATTTTTTTTTCTTGAAAAATGAGGAGATATAGTGTGTGTGTATGTGTGTGTGTGTGTGTTTACAGGGGTTCTTTACATGGGGAGAATAATGACCAATATCTGAAGGTAGGCTTATGGCAAGAAGACACTAGCAGTTAAGTGAACACTATATACTATATAATAAACATTGTGCTAAATATAATTCATATTATATTGAATCCTCAAAAAAAGGATTTATATGTGGTAGTTTGAGGTGAAAATAATAGAAGACTTTGGAGTTAGACTAATGACTGGACATTTTCTTTTTATATTTTCTTACCCAGCTCCCTCACCCACAACACACTGCAATTATTCTAAACCTTAATTCCCAGCTTCATAAAACATGCCTGTTTCACCTCACCAAATCTAACTCCACTCCATTCTATGAACAGATTATTTTGCAGGTTCTTCTCAGACAAAATGTATGTACAGCATGCTTCAGTTTTTGCTACAGTTACTACTTCTCCATGTAGCAGATACTATTGATTGATTAGTTAACTCAACACCCATTCCCAGTGACATGCTTCTATAACCAGCACCACAGAGATACTGAAAAAGCTAGATATTCACTTTCCTAGACTCCCTTGCAGAGAAGGGTAGTCATGTAGCACAATTGTGACTAATGATACATAAAATGAAGTCTGCTGGGGAGCTTCTCAGAAAGCTTGCTTTCCTTATCAAAGGCAGAATACTAATGGAAATTGCCCTTCATCCTTTATGATTTCAAAGCCAGATGTCAGGAACTATAACACCACTGACTGTGAAGGAATTGCAAAGAGCATTACAAAGGTTTAGTTCTTAATACTTCTTATCCAGTGAATCAATACTGGCAGTTGCCTACCTTCAGATTCCTTGTTCTGTGAGAAAAAATAAGCCCAATTTGTCTAAGCCATTGTCATTCAAGTTTTCTGTAATTTGCATCTGAAAACATTCTTAAATTATTTATCAAAAAATATATTCATCTACACCCATCCTGATTTCCTTCCATCCTATTTCAGAAAGAAGTGTCCCATCGCCTGTCCAAGGTTAATGTCATTGCCTTGGTTCTTGAACCCTTCTCTTTAGAAAATACAGAGATTCTTCTTTCTCATGTATCTTCAACTTCTCCTTTTCTACTAGATCCTAGTCTAAGCATATCAACAAGCTCAAGTCTCCCCTGCCTTAAAAATACCCTTCCCTACTACAGAAAATCATGAAATCACAAAGGTAGAGAGCAAGAGAAGAAGGAAGGAACAAAGGACTTATGAAACAGCAGGAAAAAATTTAATAAAATAGCAATAAGTCCATAGTTATCAATAATTACTTTAAATGTAAATGGACCAAATTCTCTAATCAAAAGACATGGAATGGATAAATGGATGAAAAAAATAAGACCCATCTATATGCTGCCTACAAGAGACTCACTTCAGATGTAAGAACACACATAGACTTGAAAAAGATATGACATGCAAATGGAAACCAAAAGAACACTGAGGGAGCTATACTTGTATCAAAAAAAGTAGATTTTAAGACAAAGACTGTAATAAGAGACAAAGAAGGTCATTAGTTAATGATAAAGGGGTCAATCTAATAAGAGGATATAACATTTGTAATATTTATGCACCCAATACAGGAGCACCTAAATATATCAAGTAAATATTAACATATCTAAAGGGAGAAATCTACAGCAACACAATAATACTAGGGAACTTTAATACCCCACTTTTATCAATAAATAGATCATCCAGACATAAAATCAGTAAGGAAACAGAGGCCTTAAACAACATGTTGGAGCAGATAGATTTAATAGAATTTACAGAACATTCCTTCAAAAGCAACAGAAAACACATTCTTCTCTAGTCTACATGAAACATCTTCTAGGATAGATCATATGTTAGGTCACAAAACAAGTCTTAATGTATTTTAAAAGATTTAAATCAGGCCGGCCAAGTGGCACGTTGGTTAAGAGCTGGCTTGGGATGCCAGAGGGCCCCGGTTCGGATCCCACATATGAGGGCCAGTGACACTGCCCTCTACAGCTAAGAAGCTGAATAACATCTCAACCTGGAGCTGGGCTGCTGTGAGTCAACGGCGTAGGCTGCAGCCCCTGCTGCAGTGGTTTGCCATGGGCTACCATGTGTAGCCAGCCACCAGCGTGAGTGGCCAGCAGCCAGCATGAGCGGCCAGCAGCCGCTGTGAGTGGCCGTCCAGAAGCTGGCGACTGATCTGCCTCACCCGGGAAGAGCACAATGATGGTGCCAACTTGGGCCAGTGAAGCAACATCCTCCACAACTAGACTGAAGAACAAAAAGGATAGCAACTTGTCTGTTCTCCTTCCCCCAATTCCCCAATAAAAAATCTTTAAAAAAAATATTTAAATCATATCAACCATCTTGTCTAACCACAACAGTATGAAACTAGAAGTCAATTAAAAGAAGAAAACTGAAAAATTCACAAATATGTTGAGATTAAACAACATGCTACTGAACCACCAATGGGTCAAAGAAAAAAATCAAAATGGAATTCAAAAAATATCTTCAGAGAAATAAAAATGGAAATGCAACATACCAAAACTTATGAGATGCAGCAAAAGCAGTTCTAAGATAGAAGTTCACAGTGATAAATGCCTACTTCAAGAAACAAACAAATATCTCACATAAACAACCTAACTTACACCTCAAAGAACTAGAAAAATAAAAACAAACAAATCCCAAAGTTAGTAGTAGGAGATTAATAACAAAGATCAGGGTACAAATAAATAAAATAGAGACTAAAAAGACAATAGAAAATATCAATAAAATTAAAAGCTGGTTTTTGGAAAGATAAACAAAGTGGACAAACCTTTATCTAAATCAACAAGGAAAAAAGAGAAAGGACTCAAATAAAATCAGAAATGAGAGGAGACATTACAACTGATACCACAGAAATACAAAAGATCATAAGACTACTGTGAACAATTATGTACAAATTGATAAATTCCTAGAAACATACAGTCTACCAAGACTGAATTATGAAGAAATATAAAATCTGTGGTATATACACACAATAATGTATTAGTCATCCTTAAAAAGGAAGGGAATTCTGAAACATGCTACAATATGGATGAACATTGAGAACATTATGCAAGTGAAATAAGACAGTCACAAAAAGACCAATATTCCATTATACAAGTTACTTAGAGTAGTCAAAATCATAAGGAGAAAGTAAAGTGGTGGTTGTCAGGGCTGTGGGGAGGAGGGAATGGGTTGTTATTTTTTAATGGATATAGAGCTTCCATTTTATGAGATGAAAATAGTTTTGGAGATAGACGGTGATGATGATTGTACAACATTATTAATGTATTTAGTGCCTCTAAATTTTGCAGTTAAAAAGAATTAAGATGGACAGATCCAAGATGGCAGAGTAGAAAAACGCTGTGCTTGCCTCCTCCCATGAACACATTAAAGTTACAACTAAATTATAGGACAATCATTCTGGAGGACCATCTGAAGTCTAGTTGAACAGAAGTTCTATAAGTAATAATATAAAGAAAGAGCCACGTCAAGACTTGTAGGAGGGGCAGAGGTGTGGAATAGGCTAGCTCCAAACTTCTGTGTAGTGGCAGAGAATTGAGAGGGATAGCTTGGCCATTGACATCCCCACCCACGAGGAGCAAGGAACCCCAGCCCCACACCAGGCTCCCCAGCCCAGAGTACTGATGGCAAGAAGAGGAGCCCCAACAACATCTGGCTGTGAAAAGCAGTGGGGATTCGGATCACCACGGTGAGATGGAAGGCTGTGGGAAACCCAGATGTCCTCTTACAGGGCCCGTGTACAGACTCACTCGCTCACAGGTTCTCACCCTGGGCTCCAGCAGAGGGAGAGTGACTAGGAGGAATCAGAGACATATGGGGAGAGACTGAGTTGTGTTGCTTCCCAGTGAGAGATGAAGGGACAGTTACCATTTTCCCTGTGTGGGGTTCTTTTCCCGTGCAGCCAGCAGGTGAACATCATCTTTCCTGTTTTGAGCCCTCCCCCCTTGCCCATGGCCAAATCTGAATTTGAATTGGACTGGTGAGCTCCACTCGCTCCACCTTGGTGATTTCCTGAGATCCTGCTTTACCCAATTTATATACTACAAGAGGCTTTATCAGTGGCTAAGCCTTACAGGAGCTGGCAGGTGGCAGCAGGCCTCAGATAGTCCCGGCTTTCTGCAGAGCCATGCCTGACTGGTGGCAGCCATCCTTGGTACACAGCATGGCCTCTGCCATGTGCCTAAAGGCTTCACACAGGAAATGACCAACTGTGGATCACTTGGTAGTTCCTACCAGGTAGTGCTAAGCCAGTCACAGGCATGACTGACCTGTGCCTGCACTGGACCCCTTCCCAAAAGATCCCAGAAACAACATACTTGTTAGCTTCAGATCACAGCAGAGCACCACCCAATTAGCCCCACAAGTGGCACACCCAAATGGCAGTCTGTCTCAATAGGCACCAGACCCACTGGGGCAAATCCCACTCCATGGGGTAAGGCCACAAACAGCAGCTTAGAGCTGTGAATGTGGTGAAACCCCACAGTCAGTCAGCCTGAGGGTCAATCCCACCAACTGATGTGCCAATAGCAATCAAGTCTCAACTATAACAGGAGGCCACACACAACCCACACAAGGGACAATCCTGGAGCACCTGGTATGGACAACATGAG